TTGTGACTGTGAGGTAGGTGGGGCTGAGAGAGTTCTGAGAGAACTGTGCCTAGCCCAAGGTCACCCAGCAGGGTTCCTGTGGAGGAGTGGGGAACCAAACCTGGTTTTCCAGATTAGAGTCCATTGCTCTTAACCGCACTACACCATGCTGGCAGGAGACTTTACAGTGAGCATTTAAGCAACAGTTTGTCTGCTGCTGACCATATATATAAATCTAGGGCTGCCGGTTCTGGGTTGGGAAATACCTGGAGATTTTGGGGGTGGAGCCTGGGGAAGGCAGAGTTTGGGGAGGGGAGGGACAGGGACTTCAGCAGGGTATAATACTAGAGTCCATCCACGGAAGCAGCCAGTTTCTCCAGGGACACTGATCTTGGTTATCTGGAAATCAATTGTAATAGCAGGGGACTCCCAGGTGCCACCTGGAGGTTGGCAACCCTATAAATGACACACTGATTTTTTTTTTTACTGTGTCATGACTCCTTCAAGCAGTGCTGCCACCAAGCTCACTCGCAAGTCTACAAATGGAGAAATTCACAACAAACCCTTGATCCCACACGTCAGATAGATGCCTGCTCAGGCTGTGATGTAAACCTATGATAAGTGTTACCAGATGAAGCCTAGGTACAATGAAAATTGGCATTCAAATGAGCCAATTAAACCTATTGCGTAGAGTCATCTGAAGAAGATCGTGATACAGAAGGTAAATACCTAGAAGAAGAATGTCTGTGTTGCAACCTTGACTTCAAATTTGAGTTGAAACAGTTTGTCTGAAGTCTGTTCCATAATCATTTGTTATTTCCTTCATAATTCTGTTAAAGGTGTGTAATAGAGTAGAGCATAAAACTTTCCACTTGAAACAAATACTCTAATTGTGTTGCCAAAAAAATTGGCCGATGATTGTTTTTGTATTTAAAGGCTGAGAGCTGCCAAACAATCAGCTATTACTCATCTAAAGGCAAAGCTTATTGCAGTGCCACTTTAGTCACTGAAAAAATTCAAAAACAGCTTGATATGTACTGAGATATCAACACTTACTTATCTTGTTTGTCATGGTGACCATTTTTAAAGATGGCAGCCAAATGCCTAGATTAGAAAAGTGATCCTCTGAGCTAAAGCTGCACCGTATACACATACATATGGTAATTCAGTCTCCTTCAGCAGGAGACCCCTGCTACTGGAGGTTAATTCCATATCTGCAAGGAAAAGCACTTTTGCAGACTAACAACATACAAAGGTAAGGTTGCCAGCTCTGGGTTGGGGAAATACCAGGAGATTTGGGGGGTGGAGCCTGGGGAGAGTAGAGTTTGTCAAGGGGAGGAACTCATCAGGGTATAATGCCATGGAGTTCACCCTCCAAAGCAGCCATTTTCTCCAAGGGAACTGGAGATCTACTACAATTGATCTCCAGATCAATTGTAATAGCAGATCTCCAGGTACTACCTGAAGGCTGGTAATTTGTGTGCATGTGCGCATGTGCATGTGTGTTGTGTTGACTTTGGCAGGATTCATGTAAAAATCACAAAAATCCAGTGCTAGGGTTGCCAGGTCCCATCGTTCCTCCAGTGGGGGGATTTGCGGGGTGTTCCAGGGTGGATGGGGATGTCACGTGGGGATGCTCTGGTATTCGGGCAAAATTCTATGTTTTTTCCACCCTCAAAACCCATAGAGTTTGCCCAAATACTAGAGTGTCCCCCCACAATGTCCCTGATGTGATGACATCACTTCTGGTTGATGTCATGGCGCAACATCCCTGTTTAGGGGCGGGGCTTCCCCTGCTTGCCAGCTGGTCAATGGTGGAGTTGAGCCACTGAAACTGGGGGATCTAGACCTAGACCTGGGGGCTGGCAAGCCTATCCAGCGCACCCAGTCAACATTTTTGCACCACGGTAGTGTCATAGAACACTGGATCCATGATGTTCACTGTACAGTTTGCGGATACAAATTTGAGCTGTAATTTGGTGGTAGATCTGAGAGGCCCCCACATAACAATCATGAAGTTGGCTTTTACTTTTCCCATCAAAATTGAAAACTATTGTGTGCAATACTTATTCATTTTCTTCATTTATATCTCACCTTTCTCCCCAGTGGGGGCCCAAATGGCCCACATAATTCTCCTCTCCTCCATTTTACCCTCACAACAGGACTGTGATAGGTTGGGGTAGGGTTGCCAAACTCCAGATGGTAGCTGGAGATCTCCTGGGATTACAACTGATCTCCAGGCGATAGAGATCAGTTCACCTGGAGAAAATGGCTGCATTGGAAGGTGGACTCTATGGCAATATACGTCATTGCAGTCCCTCCCCTCTCCAAACCGTGCCCTCCTCAGGCTCCACCCCCCAAACCTCCAGGTATTTCCCAACACACAGCTAGCAACCTTAAGTTAGGCTGAGAGACAATGACAGGACAAGGTCACTTAGAAAGCTTCTACCACTGAACTGGGATTCCAACTTGGCGCTCCCAGATTCTGTATCTAATCACTACACCACACTGGCTCTCAGTGTATACAAATCTATTAAACAGGGATATGCTACTTTATTTCTGAAAGAGGAATGATGTCCCCCTCTCTGGTAATTGCAATTCACAAATAAAAACTGAGCAGCACGTTTATTTACATGACAAGGAGCAGTAGTGGCTTTAGAGGCTTTCGACCAGGGGTGTCAAACCTAAGGCCTGCAGGCCAGGCCAGGCCTGTCCAGGGCTCTTATCTGGCCCACAACCAACTGGTGCGCCAGAGGGAACAGGAGGCTGCCCAGGGGAGTGGGCGGAGCCATTCCGATTGTTGCTTCAGCACTGCGAAATAACCTCATCCGCAGCAGGCAAGCAGAACCCCTTTGCTTCAGTGGCAGCCTCAGTGGCAAATTCGGAGTCGCCACAGCCACATTCATGCTGGTTCAGGGTTCCAAGGTGAGGCTGCATGTCTCTCTGCTTGGCCTGCAGCTCCGTGGATGCTGTCCCGGATGGCTGTGGGGATCGGTGTTTGCACATGGGGGGGTGCAGACGATCCTCTGCTGGGGGCCTGCTGGCAGTCATCACTGCCGCTGTATTTGCACCCCCATGCTGGAGCTGTGCTTTGGCCAGGGGAGGGGCTGTTCTTCAGAAATTTCTTCCACACATCGGGGGCCTAGTCCTGCAATGGAGCATGCAACTCGGCGGCACGACCACACGGACTTGCAAAACAGCTTGCTGATGATCTCTGGCTTGAACCCCCCACCTAGCATCACCTGACCATGGATCACCTGGTGGCCTCGGCTGGAGGCAGCTGCTGCCACATGGGCATCTCTAGCTTATTGGGCTTTGCTTGGCCTGGGTCCCGCTGTGCACTGGGCCACTGCCCCACTTCTACTGGGGGGGGGCTTAGTTCAGCTCATATTCCTAGTTTCCTTCCATGGTGGCTTGGGGGCAGGGGAAGCTCACAACACACATCTGCTTTTTTGTTTTTACCCTGGGACCCCAGCTCATAGCATTGGCAGCAGGCGCAGGAAGGGGGTGGCCTCCTCTCCAAGCACTGTGGGGCATCTGTCCAGCATTGCACGCCTGGCTCTCCAGTCTGCCCTTGTGGGTTTTCCTCTGCATCCCCCCCCCCAGCCCATGGGGCCTTTCAGTGAGAACACACTAACTCAGAGCTTACCTTTATAAAGTTTCTATCTCCAGTACATGGTATTACATTTTATGGCACGCATGGCCCAGCCTGACGAAGTGACATTTGTGTCAAATCCTGCCCTTGTAAGAAATGAGTTCAACACCTCTGCTTTAGACATTCTTACACTTGAAACTGAAGCATATTTTATTACCCTTTCCCAGGAGACAGGATATAAAAGGCACCCTTGGTATTTCAAACCTTATCAATAAAACAGGGCATCAACACAGATAATCACCCCTAGAAGCTTTAATGGGCCCAACGACCTTGCTTAAACACACCAAGACAAACAATCTACTTCCTTTGTTGTTCAGTCGCACAGTCGAGTCCGACTCTTCGCGACCCCATGGAACAGATCACGCCATGCCTTCCTGTCTTCCGCCGTCCTCTGAAGTTTGCTCAATTTCATGTTCGTTGCATCTATGACACTGTCTAACCATCTCATCCTTTGCCGTCCCCGTCTTCTTTGACCTTCAATCTTTCCCAGCATCAGGGTCTTCTCCAGTGAGTGCTCCCCTGTCATTTGGTGGCCAAAGTATTTGAGCTTCAGTTTCATTATCTGACCTTCCAGGGAACAGTCAGGGTTGATTTCTTTTAGGATTGACTGATTTGATCTTCTTGCAGTCCAAGGGACTCTCTTCTCCAGCACCATAGTTCAAAAGAATCTATTCTTCGGTGCTAGGCCTTCCTTATAGTCCAACTCTCGCAGCCATACATGACTACTGGGAATACCATTGCTTTGACCATACGGACTTTTGTTGGCTTCCTTGGTTCTTATGTATTCTATACTTGAAGCTCCTGCAGTTAATTCGGATTAAGGAAGTTTAGGCTAGGGCCCCTCTTTTCACACTTTTCAGATCGCAATTAGTGAGCTCTCCCTGTGGATTGCAGTCTAGAAAAGTTGACGCACTTTTCTTTACAGTTCTGTGTGCCTGACCTAAATGGAAAGATCCTGACTTTGTCAGCCACCGCTTGTATAAATGGGGTCTTGGCCAGCGATTAAAACACAGTTGTCTTTCCAATTGGAAAATGCGTGGGGCAGGGGCTGCTAGCATATGAGGCTCAAGGTACAACAGAAAGGGCAAGCCCTGTCTCACGGCGTTATGTAAGCCGACAATTCCCTTATCTCCTTGTCACGGAGTTCAGTTCCCGTCCTTGCAGGAGGGAGTTTCCCAGCCTTAGCAACAGTTGCTGAAGGCGGCGCCATAACAACAGCCGCTGGGAGGCAAAGGCCGCGGTCGTGTCGCTCTCCCGCGAGGCCTGCCCTTTAAGAACTACAATCCCCATTATGCCGCGCGGGAACGCGTGGGCCGCTCTTAACGCGTCGTCTCAAAAAAAAAAAGAGAGAGAGAGAACGGGAGGCGGAGCTAAAAGGAAGGGGGGGTAGGGGTGTTGGGTCCGTCTTTCCCCTGCCGTGTCCCCTTTTCTCAGCTCGGCGCAGACGCCATGTTGGTTTGAAGGGAAGATGACAAGAGGCGGCTGCAGTAGTAGCGGCAGCGGTGGCGGGCGAGGGGTCCCCCAGAGCGGCTGGTGCTGAGGAAAGGGCTCTCGTCTCCCCCCTTCTCTTCCCTGCCTACTTGTCCGCTCCGGCGCTGAGCGAAAGGGGCGAGCGGCTCGGTCGTGTCAGTTGTGGGGGGGTTAAGCCAACCGTCTGCTGAGCTGAGGGAGCCCCTGGAAGAGGAGGGGGAGGAAGAGGCGGAGAGGGGACGGCGAAGGAGCAGCAGCCACGGCGGCGGCGGCGATGAGAGCAGAGACCTGAAGGGAAGAAGCGGCGGGTGCTGCTGCCGCTGCTACCCCAAGAGGCGACTGCGGTTTAAATCCCCCCTTGAGCTGCCGCTGCTGCAGTTTGAGGGGGGAGGGTGTTGATTCTTCTGTCCTCCCCCCCCTTTATTTTCCCTTCCCCCTCCCTTTTGGGTGCTTGGGGGACTCAGTGTTGCAAAGCCTCCAGGAAGGGCCCGAAAGAGGAAGAGAAGCGGAACCCTGCCCCTGCCAAGCTTCTTATCTCACTTTTACTTCGGGAGGATTGTGAAAGGGACGGGGGGGGGGGGGCGGGGGACTAGGAAACAGCCCAACAACTTCGGGTCCGGATCAGGAGGAGGAGGAGGAAGGACGGTCGCTTTACTTTATCTGCCGGAGTGCCTGTCGCACGTCTTTAATGAGGTGACTCGGACGCAGAACTATCCTCTGAATCATCCCCGTCATTCATTATTGGCCTGAGCTGGAGAGGAGCGACAGAGCGGTGGGGGGGAAGCCTCCACACAATTCATGTCCTTGTGTACTTCTGCCTGGTCTACCTGGCACTGCTGCTTGGTGGTGCTGCTGCTGACAGGGATCTGCTGCCATCTCTGGTCTCCCTGGTGTTCCTTTGCTGATCGAGCCATTTAACGCCGGTTCCTCCTGGATTTTTCCTCCCCGGTCCAACAGTTTCCTTGCTGTGGTTCAGCTACTTTTATTGTGGAGGAGAGAAAAAGAAAAAAGAAAACTCAGAACTTAACAGACGCCAAAGATTGGTTGGCTGGAAGATCGCTTTGCTGTATGATCTTGGCTGGCTTATAAGAATTTCTTGTTTTGTGTTATTTGAGACCGGCAGGGTAATTTCAAGATGTCCAGCAGTGTCCCATCTGATATGGTAAGTCCATAATTGGCTTTATTTCCAGGAGTACAATGGGGGGCAGCCATGTGAGCAAGGGAGATCTGTTGGGAGAACGTTTTGATTGATTATACTGGAATTAATTTATCTCTTCCGCTACATTCTTGTTCCTGTTTAGCATAAAATGTTTTGGACTCTGATATGGGCAAAATATATTGTTTTAAATGAAATTAATACTATCTTTTAAATTTGTGGTTACTTACCTGAAACCAGTTGAATTCTGACCATTTCCCTGCTTTTTCCATTCCTCCTTTTTAACTTCTTGGTTCTAATGGAAAAATTAATGTCATTGGAGAGTTTCATAAGGCTAATCGACTTATGCAATATTAAAAGCTGTGGGCAACTGTGGTCCTTATCACTTCTTTTCAAGGACAACCAAACTCTCTATGGTGGGCTGTTCTTAAACCAATATTGGATAACTTAGATTAGGAAAACCCAGCAGTGGTCTGTCTAGATACGTTTTGAAATTTGATCAAAAAGAGTTGAAAGCTTAGTTTTAGGAGGATACCACCTACAGGTATACTTAAGAACAAACAAGCCTGTGTCTGTCACATATCTCTGAACTCAAGAGCTACTTTCCTTCTGTATGCTACAGAAAAATATCTTTGGGTTTTTCACATTCAAGCGTAAACTTGGCGTTATGTTGTTACTGCTGTGCCATGCCACTTAAGGATAATTGGTTATGGTTTCTGAGTACTGATGTGCCAGTCATGCTTTGTATATGTAGCTAATTAGGCTTTTCAGGCCATAGTCCATGTTTGGCATTAAGATGTTTTTCCTTTGGTGCTGCACAACAGGAAAAGTGTAATTTGTGACAAAGGCAGTAGTATAATAGTTTAAATGCTGCATATAAAGCCTTTTGCTCAAAGTGACTTTGACAAGAATTGTGGTGGGAAATGACCTAAAACAACAGAAAACATAACTCATGATTTCAAGTTCAAATTCTTTTGTCTGTCAGATCTTTTCACAGGAGTTGTGGCAATTTGTCAGCTATGGTGGTAGTTCTATAGTTCCCTTGTAACCTTTTTTTTAGCTTTTAGATCATGAAACTCAATGAATTTGCTTTTTAAAATATCTTACTGAATATGTTAACTAAAGACTGTTACATCCCAGGGAATTTCAGTAGTAAAATTAAAGAAAACATTTAAATGGATCTTCGAAACACTTTACTTTGACTGAATGCCATCCTATCACCTCTAGGGAAATCTAGATACATACAGTTGAAGCGTAACCGAAGGTGTTTTTTTTCTGTTGTGATGACATTTTTGTTTCCTTTGGGATGGGTAGGATAGATGTTTGTTAGGTTGTGTCTTCATTTATAACTTGAAAATTTTGTAGTTTGTATGTTTGTCACTTCATTCTATTATTGCAATGTGGGATGTCATTTTTTTTAATTAATAGTTTGGGTGTTATCAGTCTTTTCCCCATGAAGAGTTAAATGATGCTGGAAACAATAGGTTATTAAGGCTACTTTGGGTTCTTAGAAAATCTGATTACATTTATCATTTGGAAATGTCTCTGCAATGCAACAGTTAAAACAGTTTTTAAATCTTAAAGATATTCAGGCCTGTGTAAGAGTCTGAATATAACTGAATTCAGGCCCTTAAAGACAAAACAGGTCAATCCATATACAGCTCTTACCAGATGATCCATAAAATGTGAGGAAAGCAAGCTACAGCCATCCTGATTATATGTCACTTGTGTGCAGGAACAGACCCAATATAACATGATACCAGAGGTGTTTGTAGGACATATGGTGTTATAAACCTTCCCGTCATTTATTATGAAATATTGGTGTTTGACCACTCATACTTCATCTAAAATATAAAAATAGAATATAACTTTAGTGTGCTGGAAGCTTTGATCTTTTATTTCAATCACATTTGATATCTCTTTCAACTACTGTCATTTACTCACTAAATATTTCAAAACATTAGTCTTAAAGCAATTAACATAATAATCCTGTCATTTGCATTCTATTAACATATGATAATAGCTGCAAACTAAATTCCAGACATATCAAGTATGAATTTGTACTGTTGATGTAGCAACGGATGTTGCACAAGGTTAAGGTCTAATAAACCTTTGAGAATGTTATCTTTTCCGTGAAGTTCAGTATAGTTTCTGCACATACATAGCAGTCACTGCTTGCAGAAGGTACTAAAAGAGAAACCAGGACATTTTCAGGATGTAATTGAAAGGCATTGAAAGGATGTTGCTAGCCCCCTTTGTTCATGTACTTTGGAACAGCTATTGTCTAGAAATTTAGTATTTTTGTTTTAGTTTCTTAGTGTATGAAAATGGGAAAATGCACATCAGGTAAATGCAGGAAATGTATATCAGATGGAGAGGAACCCATTTTATTTTAGGAAAATCTGGAGGATACTTTAAGTGTGAGCTGGAGCTCCATCATTATAGGAAGCAGATTTTACAGGTCTACTCAGAATCCTACTCAAATTTACTTACTCCCAGGAAAGTGTTGTTAGGATTATACTGCCAATTACTTTTCAACTGCAGTAACCAATTTTGACATACAATAAACTAGGCAAGTGACCTTAAACTGTCAATCAGGAGTCTATAGGCTGTATTGTCCTTACTTTGATATATCCATAGCCTCTTCCTTTTGAGTGATTCCAACTGCTTTATAATTCAATACAATATTTTAGGGTTTTGTAAGGTGCTACTACTACACTGTAGAAGGTGGAAAACAGGAAGGCCTGGCATGATCTGGTCCATGGGGTCGCGAAGAGTCGGACTCGACTGTGCGACTGAACAACAACAACTACTACACTGTACAGCTGAACTAGCTACAGTCAGCTGCTAAGCTGGTGCTGTTTCCCACCATTATCAGTGGTGTGACTGGAAGAAGAAACAGTCCCCTTGAAAAAGCCAGGTTAGCAGCTTGGGAGTGCTTTGACATAGTGGTCACCTTAAGAAACCAGGTGGCTGCTGTGGCTAGGTGTGCGTTTGCCCAGCTCTGGCTGGTGCGTCAACTGCGTCCGTTCCTGGGTCACTGAGATCTATCCACAGTGATTCACATGTTACTTCCATCCAGACCGGACTACTGCAATATGCTCTACTTGGGGCTACCCTTGAAGAGGGTTTGGAAGCTGCTGCTAGACTACTTATCACAAACATATGTTCCTAGTACTACAGCAATTACACTGGTTACCAATATGCTTCCAAACCCAATTCAAGGTGTTGGTTTTGTCCTTTAAAAGCCCTACATGGCTTAGAACTGCGATATTTGAAAGACCATCTATCCCATATGTTCCTCCGTGGGAATTAAGGTAATGAGGAGATGCCCTCCTGACTTTCCCACCAATTAAAGATGCTTCTTTGGTAGGCACATGAGAGAGAGCCTTTTCTGTTGCAGCCCCACAGTTATGGAACAGCCTTCCCAGGTAGGTGTATCTGGCCCCTTCAATGTCAATCTTCAGGAGGCAGCTGAAGACAGTTTTATTTAGGACTGCACTTAAATTGATTTAGCTTTTATTATTGGCAATCCTAATTGGAGTTTTCAAACTGATTTTTATGGGTTTTATAGTAGTCTTTTTTATTGTGTGCTTTAATTTATATTGTAAGTGGCCTTGAGTTCCGTAAGGGAGAAAAACAGCTAATAAACATTTTAGATAAATAAAATAAATAAGCAAGTGCATTGTAATACCATTGTGACAAGAAGATCCTCTGTGCCTGGATTGTCTTCCAGAAAAATATTGTGAGTGATATATATGGGATGCATGGATAGGGGCTAGTCTCTTCCTGTCTGTTGATCTTTGAGGATTTTTCCAAGGTAGTGCCTAATGAGTGCTACAGGCATGAAATTCTGGTGTTGAGAGCAACTGGACTACAAAAATGCAGGCCAAAGTTGAGTTGTTTGTATGTGAATTTTCGGTTAGCTGTTATATGCACTCCCCCCCCTCCAGTGGTGTATTTCCTAGACACCTTTTAAATTCACAAGTTCATGAGTGGTGAAGAGTTTTTAAAAGATGAACTTTCAATGTAGTGATTTTTAGTTGCTGTGATTGCTATGGAGGAATCTGAAAATGACTTAAAGAAGCGAAAGGGTTTCCCCTTAATGCTACTGTTTCTCTTCCTTAAGAGGCCTGAAATGAAAATGTCTTTCATAGAGCTTGAAAAAACCCAGATGTCAGATTGTCCATGGTGTCAGATTGCCCTAGAAATTTCATGTCACAATGTGTTGTATTGCATGTCATAATACTCGTGCATGACTTTCTTGTCATTGCTTGTTCATGTATTAATTTTATACCCACTGGTAGTACATTAATCCATTAACCAATTACTTTATGTACAGGCTCCATGTTCAGTTTTTTAAAGCAGTCATTAAATTATGAGCAATTGGGGGAGTAGTTTGGTTTAGGGTCGGAGGTTAGCTTTTTATTGTGGTGATGACAAACAGAGTTGCTTACCCCAGATTTATTCGTGTATGGCATAGCTTTAATACAGTTACAAGAAACTATGAAGAATTGAGGCTTAGGTTTTGTTGTAGCAATAATGAGAAAATTTAGTCATTAAAAGACAAAACTATAAAACTCCTAGAATCAAATAAAACAGGTCCATTGATTTTTATGGAGGTTGAGACTATTTCAAGGATTGTTGTAAAACGTCATTTTTTTTCAAATATGCTGTCAAAAACTGAAAGCATAATATTGTCATGGTTTTTTTTCACTTCAGCCAGACAGTAATGCTCAGTGGATCCCATTAAAAGTTTGTGTCATAACAGAAATATGTTTGAGTTTGTCCTAGACATAGGTATGGTTATATAGTTAATGAATGTTAGCCTGGTAGGTATTATGACAATGCTTTTTGTTATGTTCCACCTCTAAGTCATACATTTTTCTCTAATATGACAAAGTTGGGCTTGTTAATTTCCTGTTTCCAAGCAGCGTAAGCTAAGCATCTCTGCAGTTGTGTGCAAGTGATTCTTGAAAAAAGTCTGCAAATTTGCTGGGATCAAA